GATGAAGTCCTGTTGCCCATATACACACCCTCGCAACAGGTAAGGGAAGCCGAGGAATTTGCACTTCATCAGACAAGTTTTGCATGTCTCTTTTCGCAGGATTTGAGAGATCTGTCTGGATCCAACACCTTCCTGTGCACATAAGATTTTCAAATTACGCTATTAGCTTCTCAATGTTGCTGCCTTATGAAATTCTGTGCTCACAAGTCTGGTCTGACGGGATCAGTCCTGTACGCAGTCTTCATGATGGATTCCTGAGCTGGGATATGATGCTTTATATAAACATTGATAGTTCACATAAATAAATCCAGCACTAAGCAGTCATTGTTGCCTTATTTCTGAAAAGACATGTGTTCTTTTAGTGTGGTTCTGTAATACTATCTGTTAAATATGAACAAAACTGCCTTTTCCTGGAGAGACAGAGCATGGCTTTCATACCGCAGCATTAAAAGGAAGATATGTGCCCTAACAGTAACTGAATGCAGTCAGATTAATGCACAAATCACATTTCAGTTGAAGTGTGAGAGAATGCAGTGTACATACACATACGTCAAGTGTCAAGAATGTGCTGGAGGCGGCTGTTGGTTCTGTGGTCCGTGCACCAGGAACCTGCTGTTGGGTCTCTCTGGTCTGGACACCTGGAGCCTGCTGTTGGTTCTGTGGTCCGGACACCAGGAGCCTGCGAGATGCCGGTGGTGTCAAGCGTCTGTGTTGCGCAGGCCAGGAGACTGCTGGATCTTGCCGGATCAAAGGGAGAGGCAGCAGCTGAGGTCCTGTTGTCATACATCCAGCAGACAGGAAAAGGACCCACGCAGCCTCTGACGGATGACACACACAAACCAGGTATGTCTGGGAACAGAGTGGGCAACATTTAATATCGAATCATTATAATTCCATTCATCAAGCAATCCATCGCTTCAGTTTCTGGCCACTTCATTCAAATCAGGGCCGTGGGGGAGCCAATGCCTATCCCAGCATGCAGCAGACACAATGCAGGATACTTCCTGGACAGGATGCCAGTCCATCAGAGGGCACACACAGAGTCGTATACACTCACACTAGGACCAATTTTCCCAGAAGCCAATTGAGCTGCACTTGTTTTTTTGTACTGTGGGAGGAAACTGGAGCAGCTGGCAAAACCCCAAGCGTACCCAGGTTTACAAACTATATACAACTAACTACAAACGCCACACAGACAGCACCGCAGGTCCAGAATCTAACCCAGGGCTCCAGCAAAGCTCCCCACTGCGCCATCGTGCGCACCATCCACCCAGAATCATCATATTGGGAACATTTTGGTAAAACCTGTTCTTGGACTCAACCAAACCAAGTGTTCATCTATTGGGGGGGAAATCAGTCCTGTTAAAACTTTTTTTTTCTCCCATTCAGTGCTGTGAACACTGGACTAGTTATATTGGACAAAACTGGTGCAATTTCATTTAAAAGCCTGATAAGCATTAACATGATCACGGAACAGGTAAAGGTTTATTCCAGGCTGAA